TATTTTTCTTTTGGTTCTTTTGTCATTCCGTGCAAAACCCAAAATTGTTTTTAAGATCCATTTGATTCACATAAATTGACTTGCCTTTAAAAAAAATATTTTTCATGAAAAATATTTGTTTAAAAGTTATTTTTTTTTCGAAAATATAATAATTATAGTACCTTTTTTAAAATGTAAAATTTTAAATTAAAAATATAATTTTATTTTTTAATTTAAAATAAATTAATAAAATATTAACACATAATATTTATGATTAAGATAAAAATTAATTTTTTTAATTTTAATTAAAAATAATAATTATTAATCAATAATTATTTCTTATGTGTGGATATATAAACAGAAAAAAATAATCACACATTTCTTTGCCTGTGGTTTCTGCTAGATCCTCTGTTCATTGTTCTCGTTAAAATTCACACACACACACACACATGGCAAAAAAGAAAGCAACTATTTGGGGGGAGAGAAAATGAAGGAAAATTAAAAATACAGGGTCAAGTTTTCCTTTTGAACGGAATATAGGAACTCGAATGAGAGTTAAAGGTTAGTCACATGAAATGATAAAGAGATATGAAAGAAGACAGAGAATCGTCAATGCATATGAAAACAAGACCACATATACCCGAATTACATTCTGAATAAAAAAAAAAAAGAACAATTTTCTTTTTGGATTCAAAAGAAAAACTCAATCAACAGAACACAATCCATTCTGATTCACAAAATACCCATTCTACTTGAAAATTGCAAGATTTCATATCAAATCAAAACAAAAATAGAAACATGAGGAAAGACAATAACTCGCCAATGTTGGAGGAGGGAGGATGGCAATTGGATTTGTGGCACAAAGTTACCGGAGTTGCGGTGCAGAGTTGCCGGAGAGCCTGAACGAAGTTCTGGTTCTAAAGTTCGTTTTACGGGAAATCAGGTTCCGACTCAAGAAAAAGAGATCCGCGTTTTTCCACATGGCGGAAAGTAACTTTACAAACAAATACTTAGAAGTTGTTTTCGGAGAACATAGACAACAATTTCCTTTCATTTAAATTGTTTTCATTTGACTTATTAATTAAATGTATATTAAATATCAAAAAATTTAAAAAATTATTTTTAGAAGTTATTTTTTACTAAACAAATGGACCCTAAAAATTTAGAAATCAATTTTTGAAAATTTTAGTTTGTATTTTGGTTGACTGAATTTAATTTTCGTTACTTATTTTCTGAAGTGTTTCTAAACATCAGAAAACATGAAAATTAATTTTCAAAAAAGGTTTTTAGCGAACCAAACGGATAGCTCATTATTTGCTTTGTTATTGAGGGTGATTTTCCTCTATTGGGTTGGTTATGGGCAGGGCCAAAGGCAAGTGAAGATGCAGTATTCCTATAAATGTCTTTGTTAATCCTTACAAAATTCAAGTGGAACTAATTTCGGTTTTTCGTATGATTGTGCCTAGGAATACATATGCCCTTAATATATTGCCCATAGTCAGACCATAAGGTGGACAATGGTACCGGAGCAAGAAGGGGAGAGCAACAGTAGCTACACTGCACGATAATTATGAAAATCAAGGCAATTCATCAAGAATGGTAATTAGACAAAAAAAAAAAAAATGCAAATGTAAAAATGTAAAAGTGAACAAAAAACAAAGGGACTGTATTATAAATATAATAGTGTGTGGAGAGATCCTCTTTCCATATATTCAGTCGACTTGTCGACAAATTAGTATGTTAAGATTTTTCACATGAAATTTTGCATTTACCATGGATTTGCTAATTTGGGCTTTTACTGTGCTAATTCAGTGAATACTGCCGTGCGTCATTCTAAGCACAAAGACTGGAACATTTACAAAAAGGCTGGAGGCAATGGGCGAAAGGAAAGGTACGTCTAGGATTGCCACTGAATACTGCTCATTCTGGAAATTTGGTTGGATTTGAGGTTCCTATATATGTATTTCCTTTCATTGTCAAATAAAGTGAACCCTTAGAATAAATGAGGAGCATCTACAGTACTGTGAAGGGATATAAATAGATACTAAATGCATTTGTTAGAATCTCTCTTGAGACCGAAGAATGTTAACTTTCTTTTCATTTTTATATACTATTATTTCCTTCGTAAACGGCAAATGGAACATATACAGTAATGTGAAGGGAGGTGAGCTTTATAAAGAGCTCAGGAAGAATGACCATGTTAGTGAGAAACAAGCTACAACGTTGATACTTATTGTTCCTTTTGGTCACTAACAAAATTAGTGAATTTTGAAATTTCATTTCCTATGTCGTTTGCTTAAAGTTCTCTTTCTTTTTGAATGTAATTGTAGTACATTGCAAGTCTCTCAAAAGCCTCTGCTTATTGTCATGAAAAACTTGTAATTCATAAATATCAAGCCAGGAAATTTGTTGCTTAACCCTGAGATGTGTTGCAGGCTCTCCCTCTTGCCCTTTTTATTTATTATTTATTTTTTGGAATATTCATTAGGCTTCTACTTCATTTTGCTTTTACTAAAGGTCCATGTAATAATTGGTTGATTGTAGTAGCTACTCCAATCACCAAATAACTTTTGAGAAATGCTGTTGCTGTAACAATTAAAGTATGGTTTGGTTCTATTTCAGTAGGAATATGCTCTTTATCTAAATCTCTTAAATCTTGCAAAGCTTTGTGCTACAATTTGTAGATATATTTCTACGTGTAAAAAACACTAATATTGGAAACCGCTTATTTAGTTCAACCTTGATTTGGAAAAAATGTAATTGGTTATATGCAACTATGAATTAGGGAGGAATAAAAAAGAGTAATTCATCTTGAAAATATCTAATCTATTGTAACATTTTCGTGCGTGCTCTATGTAAATAAGGAGGTATGTCTGTTTTCATAAATCCTCAACTTTGTCAAATCTAATATCATGGTTTCTGTTTTTTTGGCAAACCATGTGGGATTTTTTTTTTTTTTT